GATCCAGTGTATTATTAACATGGACAGCTCCTTATACACTGGATAATGTACCTATCACTGGATACTATATAGTCAATGGATTAGTGAACATTATTACTAACAATAACACTAATTTTACATTATCAGCTACTAATCCTGATCCTTGTATATTAAATAATGTATCAGTTTCTCCTATTAATGGTGCTGGAATTGGCTCACCTAATTATAATATCAGTTTTTATTATGAAAGAGGTTAGCATTACTATGGCTTCATGTATATGTTCACAGTGTATCTTTCAGTTCCTCTCATTACTCCTCCTGTATCAGTGGTACCAGTAATTGATGGACAACTAATATCATTGAATATCAGTATTAATGTAAGTATATTTGCCATAATAATTAATAAGCTTATCACACCAGGCCTGTAGCTATGGGTTACAAAAGGAGGGTGACAATATATAAGTTACATAAGAGGGGAGGGTGATAAGTAGGACTGGATACACATAAAATACCAAAAAATACATGTTTAATTTAAACAAACCAAAAAAGGTAGTAACTCAAAAGGGGGGTGACATGTTACTCCAATCACCTTCTAGCTATACAGGCCTTGTAAACTAACAGGAAATGCATACATAGCAAATGAATATTGTTTGGTTCACCTTATTCCCACACACTCACTCACTCATCCACTCATAGGTCAGTACACTATGTAAAGGAGAGTTTCCTAATGGTATAACCAGTTAGTATACTGAATACTGATAATGCAGTAATAAACAATACCAGTATACCAACACAAGTTAATGATCAACTGATGATTACTGGAGTAATAACTGTACCTAATAATTTAATTGGGTTTTTTGTTAATGTATCATTCAGTAACCTTGGAGGAGAATTGTTACCAATACCTTCTTTTGGATTTGGTAAAAAACTATTATAATTATTGTAAATTCAAACCCTTTTTCGAACTATTAGATTATCTTGGTCCAGTTACTAACATTGACTCTTCAATTGACAACTGTTCTACTATTGATATAACATGGACTGCTCCTACAGTTGATGATAGAGTATCTATACAATACTATAATGTCAGTATATATGATGATATAACTGGTCAGTTCTTGAGGAATGTATCAGTATATGATACCACCACTCATCAGTTTATGGATGGTGATTTATTTCGGACTCGTTATACATATGTTATAACTGGAGTTAATGAATTAGGAGAAGGAATATCTAATAATACTACATTCTCATATCAAAGAGGTACAATAAACAATAATTACTGAATAAATGATTTTATGTTTATTTAGTACCAAGATCAGTGACAGAAGCTGCTTCAGATATACTTGAGATAACATTTAATGAGACTATTGCTAATGCTTCCTTTAATATACCAGTAATAATCTTTTATCAGTGTTTTATTATTATCAAAATTCAAAATGTTGTTATAGATTACACTCGAGTGTACTGGTGAAGCTCCTGAGAATGTCACAGTTGTTGTAGAGTGTACTGAAACTGATGTTTTATATGATAATACTACACTAGTGGAATATGCTAAACGACCAATGAACATAACAGGATCAGTACCAGTACCATTATATGAACAGTGTAATATCAGTATTATATTTAGTAATGAGGCTGGTAGTAGTGAACCATTTATACTAGAATTTGGTAAGTATGTATGTTATTTTCATCATTATTCATTTTGTTATTATTATCTAGACACTACTCCTACACTACCACCTACAGGGACTTCATCTCCTGATCTAAGACCAGGTTTGCCATTACATATAACCTGCACTAACTTATTTATTTATTGCATTTATAGAAATTATTGGAGCTATTGCTGGTAGTATTGCTGTACTGATAATACTGATAATAGTGATAATAGTGATGGTGGTGGTTATATGCTGTATGATGCGAAGTTAGTATCTGGTCTCTTATCAATATTATTATTAATTTACAGGAGAAGATCTACCACCAGAAGGTCCACCACCAGAAGGTCCACCACCAGAAGGTCCACCACCAGAAGGTCCACCACCAGAAGGTCCACCACCAGAAGGTCCACCACCAGAAGATCTACCACCAGAAGGTCCACCACCAGAAGGTCCACCACCAGAAGGTCCACCACCAGAAGGTCCACCACCAGAAGGTCCACCACCAGAAGGTCCACCACCAGAAGATCTACCACCAGAAGGTCCACCACCAGAAGGTCCACCACCAGAAGATCTACCACCAGAAGGTCCACCACCAGAAGATCTACCACCAGAAGGTCCACCACCAGAAGGTCTACCACCAGAAGGTCCACCACCAGAAGATCTACCACCAGAAGGTCCACCACCAGAAGATCTACCACCAGAAGATGCTACTGCTGATAAAGAGAAAAATAAGCGGGAAGAAACTAAATTGTAATTAATTCTTTGACAGTCCTCATCCAGACTGGTTGCCAATCTGTCATTCTATAATATTTCTATGTTTTATAGGTAGTAGTTTAATGCAAATTAACGATTTTATTAATACCTTCATTTGCTGCTGTAATTGTAATGTGATGATATTGTTATTATAATAATTAAATCACTTATATTTAATTTTGTCTTAATGCATTATTTTATGAAGCTGCCAGATTGGTCTTTTGCTTTAAAAAAATTTTTAACTACATTTTCTGATACTTATTGATTGATACTTATTGATTTACTTATGCTATGTAGAAAGTTTGAGTTGGTTCCGAGCTCAAATTTTAGAGCTATGCTTACAACATAACATGCACTGCACATTTGACATAAATTTTAGTGCAACTTTTAAAATTCATTAAAAATCCAATTAAAAGCTCAAACTTTGTTCACAACATAACAGTAAACATGTAAGCACATGCATCAGCAATTGTACAGGTTCCAGTGTGTGTGTGTGGTGTGTTAGTGGCTCATTTAGTCTCACTATAGCAGTAGCTGTAACTGCTAGAATAGGCAATGACAGCTGCTCTGCATTTAAATTGCCATTATATTCAATTAAAAATTTAAAAAAATTTTCAAAAAATTAAAATCAACAAAATATTAGTTAAGATTCAAGAAAGAGTCATTGTTTGTGTCTTCATAAATCTCTTGCTTCATGAGTATTGCATCACTTGACATTTCATCTTCATTTCAGCTTGAACCTATCAATGATAATATTAAGATTTGCTATGAGTATAGTTACTGTTAATAAGAGTCTTGTTATATTCTTCTTGTGTGTAGTGCTCTTAGCATCACTAGCAGTAGTAGCCACTAGTGATCCCAGGCAGTGTCACGTGGAGGCGGCACTACATTGCTGCCCAACCTGTAATGATAGTTAACAAAATATATTGACACTAACTGAATGGACTTCAGCCTTGATAAACAAAGAGAAAGGTTAATACATGACACTATTGATACTATATTGTGAGATCTTGGAGTCTTTCAAACAGGAACTTGGTGTTGATGTGAAGATGATGATAACTTTACCTGAAGCAACCAAGAGTATGTATCTCTTGATATAACCTAACTATGTATATATGGGTATGTATGGGCCACCTTATGAGTGCACTCATTATATTAGGGGAACATGTATGAATTGGGTCACCTATATCAGGAACATGTATGAATTGGGTCACCTATATCAGGAACATGTATGAATTGGATCCCCTATATGAGGAACATGTATGAATTGGGTCACCTATATGAGGAACATGTATGAATTGGGTCACCTATATGGGGAACATGTATGAATTGGGTCACCTGTATGAGGAACATGTATGAATGGGGTGAGGAGGCAGGGCTGGTTGTTATGTACGTATTATGGTTGTGTTGTACGTATCAGTAGCTTATGAGCTATTGAACATGCCAGACACTCCTCAGTTGTTTGATGCTGATCCTAATATCATAGACTCTGTGTTTAGAGGGTTACTGGGTCAGAGGCCAGGGCTCATAGCCAATCAGAGACAGTTTGATTTCTGTCATCGGATTTTGGAGGAGTGTTTATGGGGCATGGCTTCAAAAGGATTGGGAGGGACAGAGGAAAAGGGACCGGACGATTATTTAACATATTCAAAAAGAAGAAGAGAACTAGTTAGTCATAATATTATGCATACAGAAACCTCTATACTCTTGATATATCACTTGACACTTTATCTTTATTCCTATCAATGATAATATTAAGATTGGCTATGAGTAGTTACTGTTAGTACAGTCTTGTTATATTCTTCTTGTATGTAGTGCTCTTAGCATCACTAGCAGTAGTAGCCACTAGTGATCCCAGGCAGTGTCACGTGGAGACTGCACTACATTGCTGCCCAACCTGTAATGATAATTAACAATATATATTGACACTAACTGAATGGACTTTAACCTTTAACAGGAACTTGGTACTGAAACCTTAACAAAGAAAGGTCAATACATGACACTATTGATACTATACAGTAAGATCTTGAGTCCTTCAAACAGGAACTTGGTGTTGATGTGTAGATGATGATAACCTTACCTTATCCAACCAGTTAAGAGTAGTCTCACGTAGCCAGACTCAACCCCTTTTTGACATTTGGATGGATAGCCCTGCCGTCCAAATGTCAAAAAGGGGTTGGGTCTGGCTACGCGAGACTAAATTAAGAGTTAGTATAACTTAATATTGTGTATATATCATTAATAGGAGAAACTGATACATATATGGGTATGTATGGGCCACCTTATGAGTGCACTCATAATATAAGGGGAACATAAACTGGGTCACCTATATCAGGTACATGTATAAATTGGGTCATCTGTATGAGGATCAGCACATCATTTATGAAATAAATTGTATTAATACAATTAATACAAGAGACTGCACGGCCGAATCAATCACCTTATCTTCAGTAGCAGCTTATAATTTAAAAGTATTTCAACAAACATAACTTGATGTTAAAAATAAATTGCTAAAAATTACAACCAACTAATCGAAGAGATCGTCTGGTCCTCATATAGTGAATGATGGGTGTCCTTCTTGAAATGAGACTTGAAGAGGATGAGGAGGAGGAGTAGAGGGGCCAGTATAACCAGGAGGAAGAGGAGTGTCATCTTCTGGTTCAAACACTGGCTCAAATAACCTGCTGCTGATAACGTCACAGTCCTCATCCTCCTCTAGTGATAATAGAGGCTAAAGAAAGAGAGAGAATAATGAATGGGTATCTACTCTTGGTATGAGACTATATCAATACACTTAATGTGTGTGCATGTACTCATGTTAAAGAATATAGAAAGGACACCCAATCATTAAGGCTATGCTCTGCCTTTATAAAGCATCAGGCTATTGTGGGTTGCCCCTATAATCATATTCATTGCATGCCTTTAAGTACAAGTACATGCACAATATCAGGAAATACCACACTATGTATTGGTACCTAGGTATTACAGTAATGCTAAGGTTCGACTGTTTGGGATATTACAAAGTGTCCCTGGTCCATCTTGTTGTCAAAATGGCTATAAAGATAAAATTGGAGGCTCCACTGTATAACTCACTGTAAGATCAATTCTCTGATTGATCCTATTCTGGAGTACCCAGCTGCTCTGTGTT